CCCCTGCCCCCCCCTCCCCCCGGCCCCTGCCAGTGCCCCTCCCTCCTAAATGGCAGCCCCCCAGCCCCCGCAGCCCTGCCGGTGCTCCTCACTCCTGACCTGTAGCCCCCTGCACCCCCAGCCCTGCTGGTGCCCCTCACTCCCAACCCGCAGCCTCCTGTGCCCCTCCAGCATTTTCTCTCAACCTTTCATCCCTCTCTTTCCCAAGGAAGGGATCTTTGTCATGGAAAGGGGGTGGGGGGTGGTCATGCCTCTGCCCTGCACCTGGATGGGGGAGGGTGGAGGGTATGGGAGCTGGCTCAGCCTTTCCTGTCTCTATCCCTTGAGAGATTTCCAACGACCTGAGCCACAAAAGGGGAAGTGGGGGGAAGGTTGCTCAAGAGCCCTCCTCTCCCCTACCTCTCACATCCAAGGCAGCTGTATCATCCCTCCCCCACAAAGACCTGCTCCCTGGAGGCCCTTTCGCCATCAGTCCTGGATCTGTGCAGGTCCTGAGACACCCCACGGCTTTGTGACTGGCCCACGTACTCACCTGCAACTCCATCAAGAAGAAGTACCATGGGGCGCCAATCTGCAAGCCAAGAACCCTCTGCATGGCACAGTGCCTGGAAGAAACTTGTCCTGACAGGTGAGGCAGCCAAAGGCAGGTGGGGCTGCAGGCCAGGAGTGAGGGGCAGCAGAAGGGCTGGGGAGCAGGGGGCTGTGGGTCGGGAGTGAGGGGCACTGGCAGGGTTGGGAGGGAGCAGGGGGCTGTGGGTCCAGAGTGAGGGGAACCAGCAGGGCTATAGGGGGGCACAGGGCTGTGAATTGGGAGTGGGGTGCTCATCATCCTTCCTGTCTTCCCCTCCCCAGTCTCTCTCCTAGCCTGCTGCCCCCAACCCACCATGACCCAGAATCAGGAGCCGCAGGGTCTCACCCCCAACCCATCCGTCCCCGTGGTGGGCCAAGACTTCACCCTGAGCCTCCACCCAGTCCCCCATGACATCTTGTCCTGTCGCTGGTACCGCGGCACCAGCACCTCCCATCCCTCCAACCTCATCCTCACCTATGACCACCAAAACAAAGCTGGCACAATCCGTGGCCCAGCCTATACAGGCCGCGAGAGTGTGGGGCCTGACTGCTCCCTGAAAATCCACCCCTTCATAGCCACTGATGGAGGCGCCTACGCGCTCACCTTACAGACGTTCGACAGCTCGTCCGAGTACAAAATTGAGGTCTCTGGGTTCTGTAAGTCACTCCCTGGCTACCTGTGGGGAGAAGGGGCTTCCAGTAGTGGTGGTGGGGGTGTGGGGAGGGGGCTGAGCCATACAGGAATGCAGTGAATGAAGGTCAGGGGCATGGAAAGGAGAGGGAGAATATAGGATGGGGGCAGGGGGTACGGGGCTGGAGACATGGGGTGTGAGAAGAGAGGTGGGGGCTCTGCCAGCGGGCATGGGGATCTGAGTATGGGGATGCAAGGATGGAGGCAGGGCCTGAGATGTGGCCCCCTCTGGAGTGGGGCATTGGGGGTGGGTGTTCAGAGCTCTCTCTCCCCCCCTCCAGCTTTGCGTATCCCATTCGTGATCATCATCGTGGTGGCCGTGATCTTCATCGTGCTCCTGGCCGTGGGGCTGGGGCTGTTCTTCTACCTACGTGGCAGGCACAGGCAGTCAGGTAAGGACCTCTCCCCCTGCCCTGGTGCTTGCTGGGACAGCCCCCACTCCCTCCAGAACCCTTCATATACTGCCTTCTGGCTTGAGTAGACCCTGGCAGGGAAGCCAGGATGCCTGGCTTCTGTCCAAGCCCTTGAGAGGGAAGTTTGGGCGCTGGTGGGGTAGAGCCGAAGCCCGGACGCCTGGGTTCTCTCCGGCTCAGCGGGCTGAGAGCGGGAGGGCTGGGAGCCTGGACACCTGGGTTATCTTTAGCAATTCCTTTCTTTCCACCACAGCTTCCATTGTCCACAAGGGGCCTACTGGGATATACGGGGCAACCCCCTCAATGTAAGATGACCTGCTCTGATGGACGGGTCCAGCATCGAGTGATGAGCTCAGACTTTCCATATCTCTGCCAGCCCTGTCAGTGCCCCTCACTCAGGCCCACAGCCCCCTGCCCCCCCAGCCCTGCCAGTGTCCCTCCCAACCCCAGTGCTGTGCTACTCCCAGACTCCTCAGTCCCACCAGAGCCCCTATACCTGCTCTCTGGTGGGGAAGAGGTGTCTCCAGGGGCTTCCCTTCTGCTCAACCCCTTGAGGGGGGCTCATTTGGGAATAGGGGCTTTGCCCTCCCCAGTGCACGGATGCGTCACTCTCCCCTCCCTGACTCGGGTCTCCTCTGCCCCCCAAGCCCCGTCTCTTCCACCCTTCTCATCCTCTGTAGCCACAAGACCCACCTGCCCCTTCCCCTTCACCTCCATACTGATGAGATAGAGACCCAGAGTTCCTGCCCTGATCCCAAATTCAGAAGCTAGGGTCACTTTAAGAAGAGCCCGAGTGCATGCTGGGACAACCACTTCATTCTGGGAAGGGCAGACGCTGCACCAGAGCTACACCACAGAGGACCCAAACCTATACCACAGAGCATGCAAAGCATTCTGGGAGCTCTCTCCACACCCTAAGAATCAACCAATGCTGCTTGAGTTTGCAGAGAGCCTACACCCATCACTTGGCCAAGCACTGGAGAATGTGGAGACCCTTCCCAAGATGCAGCAGGTTAAACCCTCCAGGGCTTTGTCTGGAGGTTCAAAATATTTGATGCTTTTTAAGGTCTTTTTTGTTCCATTTCATCTTCAGTCCCCAGCTCCTGGAGTCCTGGGAATATCTGGGAATTGAAAAACTAGCAATGTAATTTTATACCCTAAAAAAAAGGTCTCAAACTCAGGAAGCTCCCTTTAAGTGTTCTTTTTGCCAACTCTCCTGATTTTTAAGCTGGGCTCAAAGGATCATAGAGAAGCTGGGCTGGCAGGACCCTTGGAAGGTCAAATCTAGTCCAACCCCCTGCTCCAGGCTGCAGAAGGCCTGTTGGAACCAACCCAGCCAACGGTCTGTACAACCTACTCTTGAAAACTTCCAAATTTGGAGATGCCACCACCTCTCTAGGCCACCTGTTCCACTGCTTGACCCTCCTCAGAGTCAGGAAGTTCCTCCTCATCTCCTGCCTCAGTTTCCCCTGGCGCAGCTTGAAGCCATTGCTCCTGGTCCTGTCCCCCACGGCCACAGAGAAAAGCCCATCTCCATCCATTCCGCCATTACCCTTTGGGGATTGGAAGACTCTTAGCACATCCTCCCTGCCCTTGATCTTCCCTGCGGCTGCAGGGGTGAGGGGGGGTAGTTCTTCCCTCCACAGCTGCAGTGACCCCCGGGACTGCGTGGGCTGGGTGCCTGTGAGCAGGTGCCGTCTGGGGCGCACCACTGCTGCTGTGGAGGAAAGCGCACCCCCCTCCTTGCAGCTCAGAGACCGCTTGGCCTGCCGATGACCCTTGTGTACACACCGCAGGGGTTTACTTTGCCCTAAATTGAAGCTGTGTTTTTAAAAACCCAACACTTCAATTTAGGGAGAATGAAAGCGAAGTAAGCCCCCGTGGTGTGTACAAGCAGCCCTCTTCTCCCGCCCAAATGACCCTCTTAAACATCGAAGGATGGAGGTTCCCACCCATCTCCAGGCAGTCTGTCCCAGTGCTGAGCCCTGGTCAGAAGCAGAAAGGCCTTCCTGGTCTCCAGCCTCAGTTTCCCCTGCAGTAATCTGAGCTCGTTGCTCCTTGCCCTACCCTCTGTGGCCACAGAGAATCAGTCTTCTCCATCCTCCAGAGATGCCCCTATACCCTTTGAGGTCAGGGAGGCTGACATCAAATTTCCACTCCAACTTATCTCCAGACTCCATCACCTATGATGCTTCCAAATTTTTAAGGTCCTGTGGTTTGCTGGGGTGGAGGGGTGGGATTCTGCACCCCCAAACTCCTGGTCCATGTGTCAGGGGGTTTCTAAGCCTCCATCAGAGGCTCTGGATGCTGGCTGCAGCCCAGGCTCGGGGTGGGGACTGGGCTGTGCCAATGCTCCTGCTGGGACCAACCCTAGAGGGTCCTGGCTAGAGGGTCTTTCCCTTTCACTCAGGGTCAACTGCAGCTGCATTTGGAATCAGGAAGGGATCTTCCCCTGTGGTCAGACTGGTCTGGATTGGGCAGGAGTGGGAGGTGCTTTCCTTTGTAGCAGGGGCATGGCCACTATCAGGGACTTCGTGAGCATACATGAACAGCCTGTGGAGCAGAAGATGTTGTCTGCCATGGTTCTCCTGCCTTCCCTGTGGCATGTTCAGGTGTGACGTGGTATTGTGTCAGGGTTGACGGATGTCTTATGTAGAGTTTAGATGATGGATGTGTCGGGGATGGTTTGGATGAAGCTGATCCTGCTTCAGGCAGGGATTGCGCTAGATGTGACCTCAACAAGTCCCTTCCAGCCCTACTTCTCCATGGCTCTATGACTATGACTCTATGACCTCTGGAGGTCCCTTCCAGCCCCACTTCTCTATGATTCTATGAGCGATGGGAGTAAAAGGTGTTTTCCATATTAAACCCCAGCTGCAAAGTTCCTTCCATTTTCCTTGTTCTTATTGCCAAAATGCCTTTTCCCCCTTTTTTCTAACCCCCCCCATCATATATTTGGTAAATGTGTGCTATGATTTAGTATAAAAACTCAAGTTTTCTGTAGAAAACGGAAAAGTCACTGTGTCTCTCTCTCATGTTGTGTGAAATGTTTTCTTTTTTGGGGTGAAGAAGGGAAATAAATGGCTTGTGCAGAAAAATCTGGCCTGTTCTGGTCTTAACGGGTGATGTGGGAGAGAAGGGGGTCTCAGGTGTGGGGTCCAAGTGTGAGAGTTGCGGGAGACTCCTGTGTTTTCTCACTCCTACATGTGTATGCACATACACACACACAGACCCCAGCTATCTGGGACATGCTCGTGCCCGTGAGCATGTGCACGTGCGCGCGCGCGCACACACACACACACACACACACACACACACACACACAGAGTTATCCAGGACACACGTGCAAACACTCTCAGAATTCAGGCATCTGAGGTGTCTGTGTGTGTGCGTGCATGTGTGCACACGCATGCATGCACATGTGCGCGCACACACACACATACACACTCATGCATGTGAACACAGCTCAGGCATCCAGGACATGCACGCACGCACACACACATACATATGACTTGGGCATCCAGGCTAGGTGTGCACACACACGTGCACACGCATGCACGCAACCCAGGTGTCTGGAACACACACACATACATGTGCATGTGCACACAGCTCAGGCATCCAGGGTACACACACACTTACACATGGCTTGGGCATCCAGGCTAGGCACATACACACACACACACACACACGCATGTGCACACAGCGCAGGCATCCAGGGTATACACACACACACACGACTTGGATATCCAGGCTAGGTACACACACACACACTGCAGTACTGCAGGGCTCGTCCCCTCCAGCAGAGGCCACGCAGATGATCCAGCCTACCCAATTTTAAATACATGAAGTAAGAGGGGAAAGGACCAGGAAGATGATATGTGGCTTTGCAGGGTGTGAACTTCTTAAACTTGTGGGGGGAGTGATTCCCCCCCTCAATATTTTCAACTCTGGGGGCGGTGTCTTGGCAGCCACCTGAGGGATATTCAAGAAAAACCAAAGTGGCTGGATTAACAAGGTTCAGACTTTGGATTCTGGTCCTGGAACTCCAGCTCTGCTGTCTGTGTGGCTGAACAGAAAGCCAGGGTTAGGGGTATGATCCTGGCTAGGGTAAGGGTGGTGGTTATGGTTAACATTAGAGTTAGGGTTGTAGTTATTGGTAATATTAGGGTTAGGGTGTGGGTTAGGATTGTGATCATGGTTAATGTTAGGGTTAGGGTTAACATTAGGATTATGGTTGTGGTTAGCATTAGGTTTAGGGTTGTGGTTATGGTTAACACTAGGGTTAGGGTTCAGATTAAGGTTGTGGCTAGGGTTAATGTTAGAATTTGGATTAAAGTTATGCTTAATGCTTGGGTTAGGGCTGTCATTATGGTTAACGCTAGGGTTAGGGTTCAGGTTAGGGTTAATGTTAGTGTTTTAGTTAAAGTTATGGTTTAACATTAGGATTAGGGTTCTGGTTCTGGTTAGCTTTAGGGTTAGGGTTGTAGTTATGGTTACTAGACTTGGGCAAAGTGGCTAATATTCGCTTCAGATTCGACTGATTCGGGGAACAGTGATTCGATTCAGTGATTTAAATCACCGTCCCAAATCGATTCGGCCAAATCTGATTCAGACATTTGGATGCTGCCAAATCTCTGAAACACACAGGCCCATCCCCCGCCCACTCTCCCAGGCCCAGCAATGGCTGCCCCGCCTGCCCCAGCTCCCGGCACTTTGAAAAAAAAAGTCATCATCCCGGGTAATGCTGGGCAGGGGGGAAATCCCTGCTGCCCCCCACTGCCCCATGCGGGGCTCTGCACAAGCCTCCCAAACCCCACCTCCCAGGGCTGCTGCAGAAACCCGTGAGTCTGGGGTTTGGGCGGGGGGTTTCATTAAAGGGCCAGAGCTGGGGCGGGCAAGGCAGCTGTGGCAGGGAGGGGCTGGCACAGCGGGGAGGGTCAGGGGGCTCATGGCAGAGCCCCCCACGTAGTGTGGGGCAGTGGGGGGACAACGGGGATTGCCCCCCCCACACCCAGCAGCACCCGGTGAATGGGGGCTTTTTTTTAAGGGGCTGGGTGTTGGGGCCGAGCAGGGCAGCCATGCGGGTGGGGGGTGGGGGAGTGGGCGGGGGCACTGAGGGGGCAGGCAGGGGATGAAGCCTGGCAGGGCCCCCCCCCATGGTCGCCTCCCCACTCCCCCAGCTCCCCAACCCCTACTTACCAGCTTGGAGTCCAGCTCCAGCTCCGTGCTGCAGCCAGCGGGGACTGCCCGAATCATCGAAGCTCTCTGAATCTTTTCTGAATCGATTCGGAGAGCTTCAAATCAATTTGGACCTTTTTATTGGTTCCCTGATTCAGTTCAGATTTGGTGATTCAGCCACCAAATCGGACAAATCTCCTCCGAATCGAATCAACACCTGAAGCTTTTTACAGCCCTAATCATTAACACTGGGGTTAGGGTTCTGGTTAGGGTTGTAGTTAAGGTTAGCATTAGGGTTCAGTTTAGGCTTGTGGCTAGGGTTAGGGTTGTGGTTATGGTTAACGTTAGCTTTTGTGTTGTGGTTGCATCTACCATTAGTGGTAGGGATATCGTTAGAAATGCCCTGCTATACAAATAGGTGGGAAATATTCTATGCATTTTACTGTTCCTTTCCAACAGGCAATGCCTGTTTCTCTCTGTAGAGTAATGTCCCAGAGTACCTTTCTTCCCCAAGGGCCTGGAGATTGGCATTGTCATGATCTTGTTCCCAGATATACACAGAGGTGATGTCTTTTCCCAAGAACACCTGGCAATCATTCTCATCTTCTGTACATCACTCTGCCCCCCCCCATCCCTAAGGATGCAAGAGGCTTGCTTCTGACCTCTGCTGTTGAGCTGGTGGAGTAGCAGCCTGGAGGTAACTGGGAGGGCAAGGGGCACCCTCTTCTCTGGCATCTGTGAGGCAGGGTGGGGAATGTATTGCAAGAGGCAGGACTTATTTGCATGTCAGTTCTGGGGCATTTTGTGGCAGTTTTATTAAAATTAAGGCCCAGAGCTGCAGCTGGAGATGACTAGAGACTAAGGGTGAATGGTTAGAGAAGCAAAGTTTGTTCAGTGGGCCCAAAGAGAGAAGTCACCCTAACCTCGATTGAGGATTGTTCTGCCCTGGAAATGGAGACATTGGAAGAGGGTGAGGGGTTCAAGTTGGGCTGGACTTTCCTTTAGGGAGGGGATAGTCACTACCCTGGCAGGGGAAATACCATGACCACCAAGGTGGTTTTCCTACTGGTTGGGGAAAACCACGAGCACAGCAGGAAGTAGTACCATGACGGAGGTAATGCTTGGTTATCCCCCCACTTCCACTTCCAGTGGGAAGATCTCAGCTATCTGCTCACTTTATGGAAATGGGAGACTCCCCCCTAGCTTGCTCCTGCGAAACTCAGGG